AAGTTAGTCTATAAGGTGCATCTGTACCCTGCCTTCTGGATAAATTTCAGGGTAACATAGCAGCATAATTAGGTCACTTGTACACACTGTATCATTCTACATTTCTTAAGTATTTTTGGAAGGCTTGCTGGTCAGGTAACAGGATTAAACCAATAGTGACATATAGACAGGGACAACCTATAAAAAGGAAGTCCATATATTCTTCTCTGAAAATTTGTGAGGTAGAAACTAGCAGGTAGTGAATAGTAACTCTGGCAACTTGAAATTACTGCTAGACTTGTTGAATCTTACACGAGTATTGAACACCTTTTTCTTATTACAGTTAATGGGAAATAGGTGTCCAGTGGTTTTCAACAGCTTGGAAATTTTCAGCCCTAAATTGCTGGTGTTAAACACTGAGCTTTCCAAAGAAAACACTGATTTATTCTGTGTTACCTTAGTAATTCCTCAGAGATATATTAGGTTTTTGATGATGATGCTTGGTTAGGTGTTTTGGATATGGCGGAAGGGAGGTTTGTTTTGTTTTATTTGTTTGCCTAAGTAACAATCCATTTGTAAAAATCAGAAATTTACATAGGGTTCACTGTCCAATTTGGGCAAACATGTTACAGGGAACATGTCTACACTTGCACTTTAATACACAATAGCCTATTTTACTCCACATTAAAGCAGTGCATTAAAAAACTGTTACACTAACGCAGAGTAAAAAAGGCTATTGAGTGTTAAGTATCACCTAAAAAATGTGCATTTGCACTACTTTAGTACCTCACATTGGATGTATTAAATTTAATGCACATTTGGAAAAGTGCATTAATGCACATGTAGATGCACCTAGTGTCTTTTAAGACTCTCAGATATGAACCCAAACCAGCAGTCCTTACTCATATGGCTTTAAAGTATGTAAGAGATTTAAGATCTATTCTTGAATACTGACTATAAAAGGTTTAAAATACTGGGTGTATCTGCATGTGTACTTTACTGCAGAGCTGACTAATTAGCTCTGCAATAAGGTGTCACCCTCTACATACGCACCTGTATTAGGATATAGTAAATTAACTCTGGTGTAGGACAGTACTGTCTAGGATGAGTACTGTCCTACAGTGGAATAGTTATGTGCTCTGAATTGCACATGTAAATGGTGACTAGTGCTGGCCGGGACTTTGTGCCGCAACCAGCTCCTCTACAGCATATTGAGCCAAGGTGGAGCAACCCAGAGCAGCCTGGCTGCTCCAACCTGGCTCAGTGTGCTGCAGTCCTGGGTACACATGTAAATGCTGCACGTGGGAGAAATAAACTTATTGCTATGTGCTCATTGTATGTGTAGATGCACCCACTGAGTGTTGTCTAACACACTTCACATCTTTAAATTCATACAACAGAGAAGTTAGCATTTAAAATAATAAATATTCTACCTTAAAGTAACCAAGGAAGTCTATTTCAAGTAGTTCAAGTAATCTTTCCTTCAGTGGTTAACAGTCTGTATTAATTAGCATTGATTGAGTAGTCCCTAATACATAGTCTTCCTTGGATCTAAAAAAAGTTCTAAAAAGAGAAATCATTGGCTTAATCCTGTGGTCTTTACTTAAGTCAAAAGTCATGGGGAGCTTTTCCAGATTGTTGATTTTCTACATGCTCAGAGAAAGGATTCTATAATCAGAAAACATTTCCCTTTGTAATGTGCAGCTAGCCCAAATAAAAAATTTGACTTTAAATTTCATGGCATCTGCTGCTCCGCCACTATGTATCTCAAAACAGTTCTTTTTTATGTATGGAATCATCTTTACATATTGAAAGCAATAAAACAAAGATCCCTAGAAAAACGTAATTTGTTCTTAAAACTTTTGGAATTGAAAGTGCTGTAAATTCTGACGTATGTCCTTTAGAACTACTTGTACATCTATGTGCTTTTATTTTCACTATGCATTACAAATTGTAACTGCAATGTTTAAAAATGTTCTATTCCAGTGAAAATATGTTTTTTTACCAAATAAAAATGTAAAGCAAACTTGCTTTAAAATCCATCTGTTCTTCATTTTCTTATAATCTGTAATCAGGAAATCCATTCATACATGACATATAATTTTTGCGCTTTCTAGTGGGTAGTGGAATGTGATGTTCTGCATACAGTCACTTCTAAATTGATAATTGTCCAGGCGGAGTGTAATTTTAAAGTATAGGATGAAGAAAGGTTTAATCTGTATATTAGAAGCCTTATACAGTTTTTTGCCTCTGAATGTAAATAAGACCATTCTCTTTGGTGAATTTATCTGAAGGTGGGACAGCTGCCTCAAAGCAGGCCACAGCTTTCTGAGTAAGAAAGAGGATGCGGTTTAAAGAGCTAGTTTAAATGCAGACTCTTCTTAGCTGTACACCGCATGTATGTATTCATCATTGATTTTCAAATGATGGGTTTCTATATCATCGGTTTAGAGTCCACAGCCTTACATTCCTGAATCCACATTATGCCAAAAGAATAACAATTTGGTGGCTGGAAGGAGAAATGGTTATTATATGGCTCCAAAATGCTAGCTGGCATAATATGCCAAGAACAGCAGAAATCCACTGGTAAAGAGAAGATTGCAGTAGTTCTTAAAAATAATTTGATGTTCTAAAAATATAAATGTAAGAAATGTCATCACTGCTCAAAATATTTTACATCAGTAGAGTAAATACATAAAGAAAATCTGGCTGATGTTTTTGAATAACATATTTTTTAAATCATGTGAATATATTCCTGCTCTTATTTTTTTCATTTAATGCATCACTATAGCTTGATACAATCTTTTGTGAAGAATTATTATTTCATAGGAAATTATAATGTTTTAAATATTTCTTTTCTCCAAAAGTTGCAAGCACGGACTATGGTTTATGGTGCTTACTGGAATATTGCAGAAAGTTTACGGTAGAATTATGAAAAGGCATATTATTTAAGTGAAACAGCTTCATTTTCACACATTGAACATGCTTGTCTGTCATATTGAAACACATTTTCTAAAGCAGTTTTAATGCCTTTTAAACAAATAGCTCCTATGCATAAACTGGTATCAGAGAAACCTTGCTTATGTTTCAGTTGCTTAAATAGATTACTTTACCACAATTTCTGTTTTTCTTTAATTCTTCCATTTTTCCAATTACTAAGATAAATTTCATCTGATTGTTTGTTTAAATTAGAGCTCACATGAGCAAATCATGTTCCATTTGTCACACTGAATTCCTGTCTTTTAAAAAGCACATAGTTGTTTCCCCACAAATACCATCTTTAAAATGTACTTCTTTCAACCTGCATCTCTTGAATAACTCAGAGCATTAATTAAAGCTTAAAATATAGCAGATCCATATTCAAAATAATTGTTCATTAAAAAATAGTGACACTAAATGGAATATTCTTGCAAGTGCTCTATTTTGGTTTTGATAAGTGTAAAATCCACTTTTTTAATTAACACATTTTATCTCACTATCTGTGGGTTGTTTGTAAGGAGCTAAACAGCCAACTTAAGAAAAGAAGGATTTTTTTAAAATAAATATTTCTGAAGTTTTTCTACTGTGTTAAATGTTTATCTTCTTTTCACCAAGAATCTAGAAAGAAATTATGCTTGATTTAATGGATAAAGTTAGTCTAATGTGTTTGCATATTAAAATTATGACTGGATATTATTAGTGTTCAGCTTTTTTTTCCCACAAATTGAAAGGCTTCATTATACCAAAAGGATACATTCTTTTATTTATTACCATTCTCATGGTTTCTCCCACTGACTTCAAGAAATAGACCTCTTTCTCAATACACCCCTCTAAAGTAGAGCTACCATCCCCTTTTTTACAAAAGGAGAAACTGAGGCACATAATAACTATATGATCCCTCAGGAAGTCTGTGATAGACTAAAGATGAAAACCAAGGTTTTCTGAGTCATAGGTCTTTGTCTTGCCCACAAGCCCATCCTCCAGTGCTATTTTTAGGCTATGTATTTCTGCTTGCTAGTTGCCAACTAAAGATGAGTCGAGAATGTGTTTTGACTTAATACTTGTTTTCTTGGTATTCACATGTGAGAGTTTTCTCTGTCTGCATTGCCAGTTAAATATTACTTACCTTACTTGGGCTGCACTTGTCTGTACCTTCCTTGGCCTCAAAGAGCCAAAATTTGAAGACTACATTAGAGTCACATTTTTCCCAGCCTTTCCCTGGATGAGAGAGGGGATTTGATGGGGGAAGGTGGAAAGGTCTTGATTTCTGTGGGATGGAAACTCATTAGCAGCAGGGCTATGCAAGCATTACTATTATTTCAATTAGAAGGAGAAATTTCTTCTGGAAGTCCCAAATACCACAGTACAAAGCATTTCCCTGTCAGAATTGTTACAGGGACTTGCAGAAGGCAGCAAAGGAGGGAGAAAATATATGGGAGCATTTTCCAAATAAGAACATGGTCCTGCTCCCATTGAATGTAATGTTGACAGGATTGGGTCCTAAAAGTGGAAGAAAGAGAGTAGAAGAGCATTTAAGACTCTTCCTATTCCACCCCCATCTTTTTCTATAAATTATAGCCTTTCTATACTTGTTCTTTGTTTAAAAACAAAACAAAACCAGGAACTGGAAATAAGTGAGTCAGGCAAGTCAGAATCCTCTTGTATTTGTCCATGAAAGCACAGCATAGTTTTCTGTATTTTTTAACTATAAGATTGTCTGACTTTTCTTTGTAGCAAAACTTAGGTCTTGGCTCATTGGAGTGCATAAATGCTATTTAGTGTAAAAATAGAGCCAAATAATCAATTTTTCTTCTGTGTATCATTGATGACTTCCATAAGGAAAAGTATCTTAAATCCAATTGCTTCAAATACAGTGTGGGTTACATTTTCACACATAAGCACTTACATTGCACACCTGGTGTACAAAGGCAAAGCTTTTTGAGTGTACAAGCTATGAAATGTTCATGTACATAAAGCCATAGGAAACATATCTGAGGCTTGTTTTCTCTTCAAAAGGGTTTTATTTTTTTTCCACACCACAGGGAATGGGTATGGAAACCCCCGAAACTCACCAGGTCTGCTGGTCTCACCTGGCAACTTGAACAAGAATATGCAAGCAAAATCTCCTCCACCAATGAACTTGGGAATGAACAACCGTAAACCAGATCTCCGAGTGCTTATTCCACCAGGCAGCAAGAACACGATGCCATCAGTGGTAATGAATTTTCAAGACACTTTTTAACATTCAAACAATGGCTATTTCATTGCCTGAGGCCATGGTCCTAAGCCCACTGAAATCAATAGAAAATCTTCTATTCACTTCACTGGCCTTTGGATCAGACCCTCCATTCTGACATTGAACTGCCATGGACTGGTATTGTCTTGTTGTTGCTTCCTGAAATCATTTTTACTTCCTCCCTTCTCCTGTTCAGTTACAAAATGGCTACTGCTTTCTGCTCATTCTAAATTTCTCAGGATTCTTTCCATGACAACTTTCCTAAAGTTGTTACAGTGATTGAAATTAACTTTATATATAATCTGCAGTTAACAACCCTGGTTTAAATTTTACACAGCCATAGCCTCAGCAATTGACAGAATAACCAGAAACAAATGAAGTTGAAATCTGTCACTTTGGGAACCAGGGTCATATTTTATAATGAGGAGAAGCAGTAATTATTCCTTAGATACAGCAAGAAAAAGTGAAGCATGTAACTGAGCCCCCTGCATTTCCTGGTTGTTTTAACATAACTTAAGCAGAGAACTATGGTACAAGCTTGAGTCATCAAGGGTTTCATATGAGTGTCTCGCAAAAAATGGCTTCAAGTAAATTTTTCAAGAGCAATGTAACATTAAAAGTGAGGTTGATTAAAGAAGGACCCTGATAGTGAATGTAAGTGATGCTGTAAACGCTTTTTTCCATTATGTAATAGACGAGCTATTAAAACAACTTGCAACTTGGCTACTTCAGCCTGATGCATTATAAATTAACTGAATATCAAACTGAAACCCCATAGATGTGATGCTCTCTTCTGAAAAGATGAGTAATAAATACAGTCTCCTACAGGGCTATACTCAAGTAGACTCAAGCAGTGACAAGCTGTCTCCATCAAATGATTTATTCCAATGCCCTTAAAACTGATACTTTCCAAGGGATTCTGTCAATGGTCAGGTCTCTGGCAACCAGGTGCTGCTACACAATCTTTGCAGTCACTGAGGCTGGAGCTGAAATAATAAATACATTAAAAGACCTACACTGAAAGCTGAATATTTTGTCTTCATATTTGAAATAAACATCTCATTAGGAGGACAAATAATGGCTTTAGGATGTGTTATTTTTATTGACTGTGTTAAAAAATTATGGGTGATACCAATCAGATAAAACTATTCCTTGTGATAGAAAGCTGCCCTCTAATAAATATTTACATTAACTAAATATTAACACTCCTTTCCTATGCTCTCAGTCTGAGGATGTTGATCTGCTTTTGGTAAGTGGTTGTGATGCTCACTTAATAATGCAAAAACAATCATTTTATCTGATTTTAATTTATAAGTGATTAGTGGTTGAAATAACATTGCAAAACATTAGCACTCACACTGTTATGAAGTAAAAAAGTAATCATAATTTCCCATTGATTGCAACAGAGGTGACAAAATTACAATTATTACCTATATTCAACTTCTGCATGTTAAAAATATAGCTTTTCCATTGTTAATATTTTGCTAACAATATACTACCTCTTTTGTAAGTGGCACAACTGTATTAGTTTTTTAAGTGATTCTCTAGACATTTTATCCTTTTTCCCAAATTAGAATCCCCCAGGGTTTTTATGCACTAAAACACCCAATGCCAAAGAGTTAAAGACAAATGTATAATTGCTTTGCTATTTTATTTTTTGAAGTTTGTTTTGCCATTTAAAAAAATGAAGTAGTCAGAGCACCATCTGCTGGTGAGAATATAGTATGCAGCACATTCACAGTACTGCTTACTGAATTAAACATAAAATCCATTATTGTTGATTTTAATATTTTTTTGTATTTGAATAAAAAGTAAAGCAATGGAAGTAGAGTTTACATATTTATTCATTTTTTCACAAGGTCTGTTTTTCTACCCACAGTAAAGCAATCGTTACTAGTTACTAGTTCCGTTACCTAGGAGATCGTGATGTAATGGGTTACTATGGTGACAACTGGTCTCTTGAAGGATTGGAAATGATAGGGTTGGCAGAGTTCATAAAAGCCACATGTTAAATGATTAATTTCATGAAATCTGTATCAAGTTGTATCTCTTATTCACAAAACATGTGCTGACGTACCCAATACATTTAACTGATTCAAACTCAGTCAATGATATGTTTATTTTACTTACTTTAAAAGAATCAGAGGATAAATAACTCCCAGTCTGCTCAGTCATTGGCTACTCCAGTGGTTTCCGTAGCAACTCCTACTTTACCAGGGCAAGGCATGGGAGGATACCCATCAGCCATTTCAACAACATATGGTACCGGTAAGTATCAGTATAAGATGTAAATAGTAGGGTAGAGCAAGATACTGACATATACAGTGGCTTAGTTGTAATAAAATATCTGTATGCATGTGGATTCAAACTGAGGAATTTGTAGTCTGTATTGCTTTTAATGGCTGAAAGCTTCATTTGCATACCCTGAGTCTATAAGTGACATGAGACACTCACAGATTCGTGTAAAACAATTATGTTTTTATAGTGGAAAGCTGCTTTACCACGCTCCCTCCCATAAACTTTCCCTGAACAGTGTGGCTTTAAAAAAGGGTTCTTGGTTAGTTTACCCATCTAAATATTACAGATAATCACATCTAATTCTGTGAAAGCTTACCGTTAGGACTAGTGGTAAATAAATATCTAACTGGTTTTAAGGAGGAACTTGATAAATTTATGAACAAGAATATGTAACATGGGTACCTGCAATAGCAGGGGACTAGACTTGAAGATCCAAGATCCTTATATCCCATGTTCCTATGTCACACTCCAATTGCTAAGAATTCATGAAGATAAAGGCCTTTTTTTTTTTGAAGTTACACTTTGGACTGCATCATATAAGAAGCAGTCTAAATGTTATAAAGGAACTTCTTGGCCTTAAAAATCTATGGCTATTCTTGCACAGCAATGCTGACAGAATAGTTCAAAATTGCCTCCACAATTTATACTAGAATTATTATTGCATTGTTTGCTCCCACATTAATTAGTTGATTTAAGTAAAGGATCCAGTTTTGCTATTCTGATTTAATTCCATTCAAGTAATAAAGATACAAAGGATTATTAAGTGACATGCTAAATTTTAAATTATGGTATTAGTTATTATTTAGTTATTTTTCTCTTGATTCTCTTTTAATTATTGTATTTTCTGTTTTCACATCTAGAATACTCACTGAGTAGTGCAGACATATCATCTCTCTCTGGGTTTAACACAGCCAGTGCTCTTCATCTTGGTTCAGTAACCGGCTGGCAACAGCAGCATCTACATAACATGCCACCATCTGCCCTCAGCCAACTGGGGTAAGCAGTATTATCTACCTTATCAAATTGGTTTACATTATTTTAGCACTGTTTTGAGTAAGATGCAATGGCTTTCATATAGCAAGTAGTCACACATTTCAGCTGACCATCACATCTCAGCTATATGAAAGAGCTCCACTTTCAAAATACAAAACAGGTATCATATAAAGTAGGTAGCTAAAATGATCTTTTGTACCCATAGAATTTCTTCAGTTGTAGAAGAAAGATTAGTATAATTTTTTAATCCTTCATTTCTTTAAGTGATATTTTATTTACATCACAGAAAGAACACTCCACTTATTTTCTTTTTCTTTTAAGCATTTTGATTCCATTTAGCACAGTGCAGACTTTTACAGTAAACTACAAATTTGCTAAACAATTGTTGTAAATCAAAACGGCTTATGGCATAATTATTTGACCTGAAATTCAACCATGACCTTGTCTGATAATTGCATAGTTCTTTATGTTCAGCTGTGACATGCAAATTTCACTTACTTGAAATGGTTTTGTTAAAAAGTTTAACATAGAAACTGGCAGTAGATAAACCTCATTTAGATTTTCCTGTGTTGAAGATAGGTATTCCTGCCCTCTAGTGGCAATATCAAGAAATTTCTACAGTAAAACTGAAGCCTGCATAAAACACCTTCCTGTCTTACTTAAGTACCTTATAAAATGTCAATTCATACAAGAAAGGCTGCCTTATTCATGACTGAACAAAAAAAAATATTGGCCAGTTAAATTAAGAACCTGATTTTCAGAGCTCTTGAGCACCAGCGAAATCTATTGAGCTAAGTCCTACATATATAATATCACAGCTTTTATAGCTGAAGGCATAGGCTTGAATTAAAACAGTTCATTGTAGAAAGTGCAAATCAACTAGTAAAGTTTTAATTTACTGGAATTTGAAAGTATTAGCTCAGCCTTTTTCAAAAGAGGTACATTACACATAAGCATTAATTCCTTGTAAGACAGATTCCATAATCTGAAAATATTTAACATTGTAAATGTCGTTTAAACGTCAGTATTCTCTTGGTAATTTATCTGATGAAGTTTTATGATTTTCTGTAATTTTCTTACCATGCATCAGTGGGCTTCAGTTTTTAGAGAAATATAGAAGGTTTTAGGAAACTTGCTTTCAAAAAACCCCTCCTATAGTTGCAGATATTGATTGAATGAAAATATATAACCAAAATATTTGCTGATTTAGAAAAAATACTTTTGCATTATTGTTTCCATATTACTTTCCATTTTGAGACATACTGTTTCTGGTGTAAACAGGTAGTCTAATGGTACATCTAGAAGCATACAATCCCAAAGAAATTGAAAATTCACTTGTTAGATATCAATGTCAAACCACTATAAGTTGATTGTTTTATCATAAAATGTAATAAGACTCTTTGTTAACCAGACAAAGTTAAAACTTAAACTAACAACATACCTTTTTTAGATATGTCATACATCATCATCTGTTGCTAATTCATATCACAACAAAGAAAGTTGAAGTGTAATGGCTGTGCCTGGTGAAATACATTCTGGGTTGGTGGTTGTTATTATTAATATTCTTTCAATAATTTTAAAGCAAATGTAGTTCTGTGAAAGCTGCTTCATTGACACCCTATAAATAGAACTCTAGGTAGAAAATAAGCAGATCTCTTTTTTTTAAACTTAACTTGGATTCATCTATACAAGCTGTTGTGATTTAACAAATTATTTTAAATGTATACAATAAATACAGCTTACATAGAAGAATCAACTTGACTAAAACTTGGAAAAATATAAAGAAATACTCCTATTCACTGCATAAATCCTAAACCCCTTAGCCAACCAAGCTAAAAAAAATAGAGTTATATTGCCTCCAGACTATTCTGTCCTATACTAAGCTACCTGAGGTCAGTACAGGATGCTGCAAGGCTAGTAAGGGTTTAATGTGTTCAGAAATAATAAAGAACAATGACAGGATGTTTTCTGTTAAATGAGTTGAGAAGGACCTATCAGCCACATCCACACAAGTCTGGCTGTGCAGTATGTGGCACCACAAACACATCTACAGCACCATATACTGCACATTCAGATGTTCTCCACACTGTAAGGAAGCACTGCCCATGCATGCACTTCTCTTCTTTTTTTTTCCCATGGATTTTTTTGACCACTAAAAAGAAAATGGAGCAGTGCACGCATAGGCAGTGCACACCACTCAAAAGTGGACCCAAGCTGCCCAGAGCCATGCTGTGGCTGCCAGACAGGCTCCACATGACAGAATTGCCACTGCTGCAGCCTTAGAAGGTCCCCAGGACCTCAGGTAAGGCTGCCGGTCCCAGCCTCCCCTACCACACCCTGGGTAACTTGCTGTGCACCAAAGCAAGGTGCACCACCGCTACCTGTCCCCAGGGAACCAAACATCCATGCTTATGTGGACATGGCCATCACGTTCTGCAAACAAAAGAGAGCTGTTGGGAGAGACCTCCAAATTCCCGGGTTGGAAGTGGGAAGAAGAAGGGGAGGAAGCACTGTCTAGTTAACATCAAACCTCAATTGGCTCAAATCAGTTTGTTCCATTCAAGAGGGCGTAGAAGCGTAGTTAGTAACCAACACATTAAGTATTTCAGCTTGTCCTGAGAGGACTGAACCATGAGGAATATAGGGTTCTAAAAGATGCATTTTTAAAAAAGGACCTTAGGCCAATGTGCTAGAAACACAGCTCTTCCACTTGGCTCAATTTTTGATAGGCAACTATACTAATGCCAGTGTGCTTGAACAGTGTTTAGAGCAAACACTTTGAAAGACATCAAAGTAATTCAGTCTCCATGCAGATTTTGGCCTTTTTGCTAAAACCACTGAAGGGAGCTAAGGACAGACATTCCTGAGCCTAAATTGATTCAATCAAAAAGCCTGAATTGATTCAATCTTTGCAGGTTAGTCTAACCTGGCTAGCCTAAACTGGATTGAGACTGGACAGACATTCTCTCTGGACTGAGGAAATTCAGGCACATGTCTGCAGTGGCTCAGGCTAGATGCTGGGGGGCACCAGAGCAGCCCCCCCTGCCCTTCTGCAGGAAGCAGAGCTGAGGGGGGTGTGGCCAGGCTCTGGCAGGACTCTCTCATTAGTGAGATCTGCCTGCAACATTTCAGGCTTTTCTGCACTGGCTGCTCAAGGTGTGGGACTGTTGCCAGCCCCCAGCCCTGAGCTAGCACTCTGAGGCAAGGGGGTGTGTGCAGTGAATGCATCTGTTGATGATACGGAGCTTTTCAGTCTCCCTCCCTGCTTCGTCATACTGTCTGCAGCAAACTGACAGGCAAGAAAGGCAACTGGTAGGGGAGGAGGGGGCTGATAACAGTCTTAATAGCCTCTGTCCACATTACTTCAAATTTCTTAAACAGTTTACTGGCTGACCTGTTGATTAGTTCCAAAAGCCCTAAGCGGTCACTGTTCTGTGTGCCTATGCCAGTGAAACAGGAGAGAGACACACACAGACACCTCTCAGCATTAGCTAGCATACCACATGCTAGCTTACAGTCCCTTCTGTGGCAGAGAGGAGTAAGGGATCTCTGCTTATGCAGCGAGTAGTTGTGGGGGGGAGGGGAAGAGGAGGGTATGGGGAAGCCAGCAGACCCTGCTGTGCCTGCAAGTCTGTGCCAAGCTCCAGCCAAGGAGCAGAGGGGCCAGCCCTGCTGTGGAGCAGAGAGTCCCGCCCAGCCCAGAGAGCATACCAGGATGCTGGGGGACTCTGATTTAACTTAAACCAGCAAGGGGTCAGGGACAGACATTGCATAAACTGGCTTAAGCCAAATCAGTTAAGTCTGATACTGTATTCAACCAGGTTTATTTCAAATCAGTTTCAGCCATTTTCAGACTGATTTATATGCACTGACCATCTGTTCTATTACAGGTTTAAACCAGTTTCTGATCACTTAAACCAATTTATGTCTGTCCCTAGCCGGGGAGAACAATTTCCAAGTTTCATATTTTCAGTGAAAAATAAATAAATTATATGGGTTTTTTTCCAAATGCTTTTCAGGAGGGAAAATATCCACTTTTTGTAACTCAGGCTGCACACACACATTCAATTAATCTGGGATAATTCTCCATATTTGTTTTCCTGGTAGAAAAAATTACCCAGAGATGCCTGAACAGACATTTTAATACTGAGTCCTGGAAGAGCAGAGAGCTTGCAGAGCTGGAACTGCACAGCCAGGGGGGCCCTGTCTCAGCTGCTATTCAGATCCCCTTAGCAGTGCACAGGGCAGCCCTGATTGTCTGACCCAAACTGCTCAGTTAGCTTTTGTTTCCCTGTAGCTCAGTGTGGTATTGGAAAGCGGGCATGCTCTGTTCCCTGCTTGGCTGGAGCAGCAGTCCATCGAGCAACACACTGTCTGCCAGGGGGAGGGTGGAGAGCAAAATGAAATTCTGGAGAACAGCTATGGCTTCTCTCAAAAATGCGTACAGACATTAGCCCTGGTTGTTTCTCTTGGAGCAGACATTTTTGTTCTAGGAGAAAAAGCTTGAACATCTGTACGCTCATGGGTTATGTCCTCATGAGCATAGACATTTGTTTCCCTGGGGACCACTAGTGGCAGCACACCTTGAGTAGCACAAGGTGTGCTGCCACTAGTGGTCGCCAGGGAATGCCTGTGCCACGCACCCTCTGGCGCACAGCATATTACTCCTGGTGGGATAGGGAAGGTTTGGGGCCAGTGCTGGGCTGATCCCAGCAGCCTTATCTGGGATTCTGGGGGCCTCCTGGGGCTGCAGCAATGGCAATCCTGCCTCTCGGAGCCTAGTCAGCAGCCGGAACATGGCTCCGGCTACCCAGGCTCCAGTTTTGAGCGGTGTGCAGTGCCCCCAAATGTACCGCTTTGCTTTTTTATTTGTGTGGGGTTTTTTGACCCCTGGATATCCTTTGACGTGGCTGTGGCACCACATACCACACAACTACGCTCATCTCAATGCAGCCATGGTGTCTCCTGGGAGAGCAGTGACTCTTCCAATAGAAACCAAATATCTTTACATGGCCACACTGCTTACATGACTTCACTGCTGATAGAAAAAATATGTTTTTAATTCCTATTAATAAAATACATTTCCATTTCAATTATAAGTCATAGTTTATCATGAAAAGTTTCCATTTTTACTATGTCTTTGTACTGCCTCTGTTCTAGTCATTAGACTACGTACCTATTTTAAATTGATCAACAAACACCACTACTGTTGGTCACTAATTAGCACTAATTTAAGCCTCTAGCTGGGAAGTAGAATGGTCTGTATACAATTACTAATTTCTTGAATAATGCTGCCCCCTTACATGGAAAATATTCTTCCATATCCATAGCTGTCAGTGTAAGAGACCATGTCTTTCTCTTTGAGTATTAACCACTGGTAAAAAAAGAAGAAACCTTTGTAAAAATAAATGCAACATGCATAATGCTGAACAGCTTTACCACAATTTTCATTCTAAAAAATATTATTCTTTACGTAACAGAGAAGATGCTCTAGGCTTCAGGCCTGTTGAACATAGTTTTCTCAAAACTATAACCATAACCGCAGCCATTCTTGGGTTGTTTCACAAACACGTTAGGTAGCAGTCCTAACTAGAGTAGAGTGGCATTATTTGCTTAAGGTTTTTTTTCAGTTAAAAATACCTATAGGGCATCACTGAAGCATTTTGTGAATTCATGTCAGTTTTGCTGAATTGCTTATTTTGAATAAATAGTTTTAAATGTTTCAAAAACTCAGAACATTTTGTTTTGATACTTTTAGAATTATTTTTCAATTTGAAGTGGTATTTCATTTAGAAATTTTCCTTAATTTTATTTTTAAATATTTTAAACCATTTATAATTGCTAGAAATCTGAATGAAACATTTTCTATGACCTAAGCAACTTATTTTACTTCTCAATTTTCTACAGAAAATGATAAAATTTACATAAAATCAGTGTAATTTTTTAAATTATTTTAATCACCAGAAAAAACAAAAAAAAGTGTTAGTTTTCTAGCTCTAATCATATCTAAATTCTTGAGAGTTACAGCCAGTATCCAGTGCTAATCTGTATGCTCCTCTATGCATATAAAACTATCCTCTATGCAAATAAATCTTTTCTGGAGTGAAGATTTTAGCCAAACCAAAAGAAAATCCGAAAGCAGCTAGAGGAAGGAGGAGTCTACAGGTGCTCGACTCCATGGGTGCATCTAGACAAGCACAGATGTTTGTTTCACAGCTTGTGCTGCTACTATTTATCCCCAGGGAACCCCCATGCCACGTGCGCACTGGCAGGCATCAGGTGACTCCAGGTAGGGGAGTAACCTTACCTGGGGTCTGGGGGCCTCCCAGGGCTGCAGCTATGGCAGGAAGCTTGGCCGGCAGCGAGAGCATGGTTCTGGCTAGCCAGTCTCTGGTTTGGGTCAGAGTGTGCTGCCACCACATGTGCTGCCCTACTTTTTCTTGGCATGAGATCTCCTGGGGTCAAAAAATTCCCCCGCACTGCAAGGTAGCAGCAAGGGGAATTTCTGCATGTGTGCTCTGTGGCACTACAGATGGGTCTGTGGTACCACATACCGCACGTCCGCACTTTTCTGGACACAGTCCATGACTATGTGGCCCTGTTTCCTTCTTCCCAAATATCTGTTTCATTAATGATCCTCAGGATGACAGATTCACCAGCCACACACAGATGCACTGCTCATGGGCATGTGGGCTGAAACCCCAACAGGAGGTTAAAACCTACACAGAGTACAGTTTACTGACATACACAAAGTTAAAGCCCTCTTGCAAGCAAGATGCATCCTGGCATCTCCACAGCCTGCTTGGCATAGCTATATTAGTTTTACTAATATGCCTTCCATATTCATGAAGGGAGCAATATTTTCCTCTATGTCGTTATAGTACATCAGAAACTTGCCACTTATATCGATTTAAATGTGAATTGACGTTTAACATTTGAAGTATATCCCCTTATCTCTATAAAATTAAATGTTTTCTAAGCAATAAAGCAAAAAAGATTAGCACATTAATGTCAGTGTGAGTGGGTTATCTGACTAATATTTCATACTTAGTCACTATGCAGGATTCATTAAAATAATTTACTTTCTTTTGCCCTTTGGATTTTCTATAGTAAAACCCATCTGTTGCAAGGGGAGTTGCTGTATTGTTCAAAAGGCAAAGATGATACTATAAGCTTGGACCCATGTACTGGTATATGGAGATCAAATTTGTAAAATATACCCTGATACTCACTATCTGAACACATCAGGGAAAGGAGAGGTTTTTGCCCCAAGGGAAATATATATGTAGTATTGAAGAACATCTTGAAACTATTATTCTACATGGAAGTCAGATGAGTCCTCAATATAGAATGCAAGATTGGAAACATCAGCTAAGTTATTCACTTTTTTGCTATTTACCTTTAGGCATAGCTGACCATATTCAGTTGTAATTTACAGAATCAGCTTATAAATACAGCTGGGTGAAGTTTTCCAGACATTCGTCAAAAATGCAAATTAAGCTTGACTGAAAAATTATGTGAATTCATGTTAATTTCTGTATATTGTTCCCATTGGGGAAAAAAAACCCTTTAAAATTCTGAAAAATAAAAATGTTTCATTTTGACACTCTTTAAATGAAATGTTTCAGTATCCAAATTTAGAGCAATGATTCGTTGGTTTAATTTTGTTACTTAATTTTTTAAAAATTAAACATTTTGAAAAAGAATTGTTTAGTTTTGTGTTTAAGTGTTTTGTCCAAGTCAAGAAAAGTGTTTTTGTACTTTTCAGATCACCAGAATGATTTTAAATAAATCCATTTTAGGTCAACCCAAAACATTCTTTTTTCTATTTAACAGAATTGCCAGCAAACATAAACTATTAGTTATTCATATAATCTTCTGATTCACAAAATTTTGTTAGTGAAAACTAAAGAGGCAAATTTTCATACTGGTTTTTGAGCCAGGAGTAACATTACAGTTCAATAATATCAGCCTTATTTTTCAAGATTTACAGTGATTTTTTTTCTGCCTTTCTGAAACTTCTTAGTTTTGGAGACTGTAACATTACATATGTAATAGAATACAAATAAAGAAAAAAAGGATTGTGTGTTGCCCGTTTGCATCTCTTCAGAGTAGTGTCAGGAATATGTATCAGACCTGCCCAGACCAAATCACCAGGCCCTGGAACCCTAAATTTTGAGGAATTTCAGACTCAGGTGTAAGCCTTGCATCCAGAGCCATATTTACTCTATAATATTTAATGAACTGTTGGCCTGTTCTCCTAGGTAAATCTCCTATCTCTCAGGGGACAGAAAAACAAATTAATAAAGCTCCAGGGGTAGGGAGCAAAAGTGGCAATGACTAAATCTGACATTAACAGCTCTCTCCACATGTTAAAAGCATTTTTCCAAGTTTAAAAAATTCTCCTCTTTGCTTTCAGAATATCTCTTGGAATTCATATGTGAACAAATTCGACGAGTCACTTGCTTTTAAAATCATTTTCATTAATGAGGGCTAGTAAATATTCCAGACCTTACAGGAAGGAATTTGTTTCAAAATTTGTCAAATTCTCTCCTAAATTGAATGCTAGATTAAAGCAATACTAGATAGAGCATTTTACTCTCTCTGTGTGTTGTATAACAATAGCCATCCATTATTAAACACTGTGACAATTAGTGCTAAAAGCATTTAAAATAATTTCAGCGGAAAAGCCAGGTTGTGTCAAGTATACATCTGCCAAAATGAAGCAAAACTGTTTTGTCTTTCACCAGTTACAACAGATTTTCCATAAAGAAATGCCCTTCCCCAAATAAATTCTCACTGTTTGATTCCTTGACATTTGGTGTAAAGCCGGGACCCCAGAAACAGAGTTGTGCCTAGGAACAAACAGGAGATAATTGCAAGGAAATGTGCTGTTCAGATAGACATAATAGAAAAGGAAGGTTGATTTTTGCCAGTAGGTGGTGCTTTTGTACAAAATATTCTTTAGGAAAGTAATCTCTCTTCTTTCTTATTTTATAATGTGAGTTTCAGTATTTACTCTTCCTCCCACACATTACTTTATCTCTAGCTCTCTCTGAATAAAAAACCACATACACAAAATCAACTTAGAATAAGGATTTAACATGTCTTTTTAATATTAAAACAGAACCAAGACCTTCTTTTTTGTGTTTGCAAGACCATTTGTTTGAGAGGGGTATTCCAAAAATGCAAAGCAATATATTCTCCTGACACCTTCTACTACACTTCAACTTATTTCTGGTAGTTTATTGACTAAAAGACATAAATCCTATTCTTAATTTAACATTCTTAAACCCATAACACAAACTAAAACATCAAATCCCCACTTGCCTACAGTATTTTTAACATTAATCCATATCAAGGGTCAGCTGAGTTCTAGTCTTTCTATTTGTGAAGGTATAAATTTCCACAGCCTAGATTTATTTTGTATAGTTTTGCACTTCAAATTACTCATCAGTATAAAGGGTACAAATGCTTTTGTGCATTCCAACTAATCTGATTAATCTCAGCAGAAACTCAGTGTCACCTCCCTCACCACCAGCGCATTCACACACACAAGCATCAGTTATAAAGAAAATGATAGTGTTTTCAACAGTGCAAAGGCTTAGCAGCCTAACTTTGTCCTGGCCCTTTTAAAAAAAATCTTTAAATTAAAGAGGAGGTCATAGAGCCACTCCAGAGGATTATATCTGTTGTGATGCCTCCCTCACCTTTCGCTTGCTTCCAGTATTTTATAGTGAATATTCCATACATTCTTGGCATGCACTGGTATCCTTGTGAGTCTTTAAACTGATGTTTTGTGTGAGTGTTTGTGCATTTCTGGGGGCTCCAAGCCTCCTCAGTCTGTAACTGGGTTTCCTTTCCTCCTACAGAGCTTGCACTAGCACTCATTTATCTCAGAGTACAAATCTCTCCCTGCCTTCTACTCAAAGCCTCAACATCAAGTCAGAACCTGTTTCTCCTCCTAGAGACCGTACCACCACACCCTCGAGATACCCACAGCATACGCGCCACGAGGCGGGGAGATCTCCTGTTGACAGCTTGAGCAGCTGTAGCAGTTCGTATGATGGAAGTGACCGAGAGGATCATCGGAACGAATTCCACTCCCCCATTGGACTCACCAGACCTTCGCCGGACGAAAGGGAAAGCCCGTCTGTCAAGCGCATGCGGCTCTCTGAAGGATGGGCAACATGATAACATTATTACCTATTAGTTTTTTTCTTGCAGTGTGTGTGTGCTATACCTTAATGGGGGAGGGGGGTCGATATGCATTATATGTGCTGTGTGTGGAAAAAAAAAGTCAGGTACTCTGTTTTGTAAAAGTACTTTTAAATTGCCTCAGTGATACAGTATAAGGATAAACAGAAATGCTGAGATAAGCTTAGCACTTGAGTTGTACAACAGAACACTTGTACAAAATAGATTTTAAGGCTAACTTCTTTTCACTGTTGTGCTCCCTTGCAAAATGTATGTTACAATAGATAGTGTCATGTTGCAGGTTCAACGTTATTTACATGTAAATAGAAAAAAGGAAACATTTGCCAAAAGTGGCAGATCTTTACTGAGAGAGAAAGCAGCTGTTATGCAACATATAGAAAATGTACAGATGTTTTGACAGACCCAGCAATGGGTGGCCATGAATAAATGTTAGAAAGAGACTGGGTCACCTACCATACCTAAAATGCTCACAAACATGCAGGCATATCATTAGAGTATGGCACTCAGATAAAAGGATCAAAGACATTTAAAAGAGGACCATACTTGTAAAAATGTTGAGTTTGAGGGCTAACATAATTTAATTTTTAAAATTCTGGGTCTGCATCACTTATTAAATAAAAAATATAAAAATATGTACATTACATTTTGCTTATTTTCATATTAAAAGGTAAGACAGAGTTTGCAAAGCATTTGTGGCTTTTTGTAGTTTCCTTAAGCCAAAATGTGTTTTTTTCCTTGATAGCTTCGCTAATATTTTAAACAGTCCTGAAGAAACAAACAAAGGGGACTTTTTGTATAGAAAGCACTACCCTAAGCCATGAAGAACTCCATGCTTTGCTAACCAAGATAACTGTTTTCTCTTTGCAGAAGTTTTGTTTTTGAAATGTGTATTTCTAATTATATAAAATATTAAGAATCTTTTAAAAAAATCTGTGAAATTAACATGCTTGTGTATAGCTTTCTAATATATATAATAATTATGGTAATAGCAGAAGTTTTTGTTATCTTAATAGTGGGGGAATTATATTTGTGCAGTTGCACATTTAAGTAACTATTTTCTTTTGATTTTCTTTTACTCTGCCTACATTTTACAGATTCACGGTCAAAAGACTGATCTGTAAAAAGTTAGTATTTACCCATGATGTAACAACTTAAATCATTTTAATACAACATTTTACAATTGGTTGGGTGAACTGCAATCCATTGTATATACTGATTAGTTCTTTCATGCCATTTTGTGCATTGTAACAAGTTCAGGGCCCTTGTATTATGTTCTGCGTATCTTGTAGTTTTCCACAGTTTAAATGTCAAAGTGGCATAACTTTGCCCTTCCTCATAAATTCAATGAAGCTGGTATTCTGCCTGTTAGAACTGGATTGACATCTCTTAAGACTAGCAAGTATGTGAGTGCACGTGACTATTTCCAGAAGTGATGGAGAAAGTCAAAGTGAGAAGTTAGTGCAAACAGATCATTAAAGAGATACTTCTTTCTTTCATTGATTCAAGAGTCTTAGATTACAGTTGTCAATAAAAAAATGTTCAAAAATAGTTTGATCTTGCACAACCAAAAATGGCCAACAGATCATCAGCATTCTCATGGATTCACATTATCATACAGAGGGATTGTTGTTGAGCAATGTCCCCTTCATATTACAGGGTTTCATTTCAGCATAGAGCGTGCACATATTTCCCTACCATATATTATTCTTCAACTCAAATAGTTTAGCAAAAAAGAGCCTGCCATTCATTTTAAGTTCCCTTCTGTCCTTCCTGTCCCCTAGAAGTAAATGGTGGAAAGTAGACTTTCCAGTTCATCCCGCCTTTTGGGTGGGTGTCAAGCAGTTCCCCTTTAAAATTTTAGTGCCATAGTGAAATTGGTAATGTTTTAATTTTGCCAAAATTAGTGCTGTATGCCATATAGGTGCATTGACACTATGTCAAAGGATGTAGCTACAGCTTTTATCTCAGTTTCAAAATGGAAAGATTATGCTAAGGGAAATGCACCTTCTGTTTCCCATTAATACATGCAGTTGCTGCTCATCAGGAGAGTCTACTCTGTGTAGTAGCAAACCGCGTGAAATGCATTGTGTATTCTCAGTTGTACTCTTCCTTTATCATACCTTAATATTAAACCTATATACAAGTATACATCTGGCCACCCAGACATATTGCACATACTTTGGATAGTCTTTGAGCAGAATACCATGATGGTAATACATCCATTCTTTTGGAGCCATCTGTGGGGTGAGAAAAAGATACGCACACATAAAAAAGCAAGAATCTGGCCTGTAATCATTTTTAAAAACACAAAACTGTTTTTCAAAACCACTTTCCTCACCTTAAAATGAACCTATACTTATATTCTCAGCCTGAGAATTTTGAACTTTGATGTGTCTAAAATATGCAAATATATCACAAATGTACCTTGTCATTTCAAAAAACTTAGGTTTATCAGTATTGTTAGTAGTAACTTGTCATTGGGGTGGGGGAGTCAGAATATTGAAATATGAAGAATAGCCATATTAATAGTTTACCTGCAATTTGCCTCAGCAACACAAGAAAAAGGAAATTTGAATTTCTAAGGGAGCAGTGGTGTAATGTATGTTACCGCAAGTAACTAAGCAGAAAGTAGTGTGAAAGGTTTTGCCTTGGCAATTTCTATTAATTCTGACAGTGGTTTTATACAAACACAAACAGAACAGAATCACATGCAAATGGATGCCAGTCATCCCTCTTGTTCCTGCTACTGAGCGCAACTAAAAAATAGTGGCAAGATAGTGGGGGATCATGCATATTTGTAAACTGATCTAAATAAAAGAAGCACAACTTTGATTGTGAAGTCACTTTCTGTAAACTAGTACTGTCTACTTTTATCTGTTTCTTTATCTGTAACTTACCATTTATTGTATTTGCAAAGCTAATTTGGGTTTATTGTGTGATTCCTTTGTATTTAAGGAGTTTGGGGCAGAGCCCTGAAAGAATATTAACATTTACTTTACATTTACCTGTGCTATGTAATGTTTTGGGCAACATTCTTAATTGCAAGTTCAAATACCTGAAGTGGCATTTTATATATATATGAGTATTATTACAGCTAAGCTTATCCTTTTCTAAAAGGTATTTTCAATTAGACTGATTGCTGGTGACAATGATATGATATACACAATCTGCACAATTTGTATATTGTATGCATTGGTACCTTTCACAGTGGAGCTTTTATTGTTTCAACGTTTTTCAGAAGTTGTGTTTTATAACAAAATGGCTTCTATTTTTCCCAAAAGTGGAATTTAGCAATTTTTAATGAATAATATAAAAAATATCTGTTCTCAGATCTTTTTCAGGTAAAGCTAAAGTAAGAATAAAACAACTGATAGACTGTTTTGAAGAATGTCAAGCCTTTTGTATTGTATGTGTTATCCTCTATACCCATCTTTTAACTATAGTCCTACAATGCTGTTTTGTTTTCTTTTTTCCTCTTCTTCTCTTAGAAAGTAAATGCTTTGTAATTTTTTTAAAAGCCACTTGAAACCTCAATAAAGGCTGTTGCCTAAACATGGCATACTTCATCTGTTCCTGTTTGTGCCATCTGCTGTGATGTTGTCAGTTATATGGCATTATTTTCCTGCCACTACAGGTCTCTTGAAGAACTGATGGAACATTAGTGTCTGTTAGAATGCTTCAGACTGTAGATGTAATAAAAGTCTTTTGTTAACATATTTTAACCAAAGATGTGGAGCAATCCAAGCTTTGAGCCACATATCTTCTCCATCAAAATTATTCATTTGCATACTTTCATAATCAGGTGTTGCATTTTGCCTTCCCTGCTCATACCTCAGACTGATCCATACCTCAGTTTGATTCAAAGAGGTCAGTTCGACAACAAATAAAAAATGCAGTACCAGTGTCCTCTTGTGGAGTAACTAATGTCAGACCTGGGCTACCTTAGGCATTACACTTGGATTGCTTCAGATGGTTTGTTGTATCCTTTTTTTTCCTGGGGATTTGTTTCCATTAAACGATGGTAATTAAAAAGTAGCTTGTAAATGGGAGCATACAAGCATTTGCAACAAATATTAAAATAGAGGCTCACAGCGGCATAAGCTGGACTTTGTCGCCACTAGATGACAAGATGTTATAACTAAGTTAAACCACATCTGTGTATCTCAAGGGACTTAATTCAGCTGTCTGTAGTGAAAAAAATGGGAAAAATTCAAAAGTTTCTCCTGGAAATAAGGTATAATTTGTATTTTGCAGACAAATCAGTAAAGTTACTGGCTTTCTTAGTGATATGGTGTCTGTGGTGCATTTTTTTAATTGGTTAAATGATGTTTTGCTGCTTAATTTTATGCCATTGTAACACTTAAAATGACAACACTACAAGTAATAGCAACTTCCTTCAGCAATACTACATATGCATCAGGCAGGGCCATATACACTGTATCTGCTCTGCAGATGTCCCCCCCCACCCCCCAAAGCAGAAATGTAGCTGTCATACTGCAGCACTGTAGCTGCCCTATACACCAATAAAATCCACTTTTTGGAAGCACATTTGTTGGTACACATAAATACAGCATAGCACTGCCTGACATTAACTGAGCACTAAGAACACACTTGGAGATGCTATAGCCGGCATGATGAACAGTTAAGCTTGCCAAAAGTGAATACACTCAGTGTACACCTGCCAATAAGAGATACTGAGAGAGTTGGATCTGAAATCCTGCCCTTTTCTAGGTCTTAGATGCCTCATTCAGGGCTACAGGCAGTGCCTCTGTCTTTTTGGTAACCCTCCTCCCAACTACCTAAATAACTGCCCAACTACATAATAAAATGCCTGTAGTATTCTGGCAGTGGCCAGCCTGAAGTGCCTCAAGAGACTGACTCTATTTCAGCCTGCAGAATTACAGGACTTTTCCATTGTCTCATAGAATCATAGAAGTAGGGTCAGAAGGGACCTTATAGATCTTCAAGTCCGACCCCCTGCCAGGGCAGGATTAAAAACTGGGCTCAAATGATCCCAGCTAGGTAGGCATCAAGCCTCCTCTTAAAGACCCCCAGGGTAGGAGCCAGCACCACTTCCCTTGGAAGTTGGTTCCAGATCCTAGCCGCCCTAACTGGGAAGTAGTTCTTACGGATGTCTAATCTAAACCTACTCTCCAACAACTTGTGGCTGTTATTCCTTGTTATGCCAGGGGGTGCTAGGGGAAACAAGGTCTCTCCCAAACCCTT